GAGAGAGAGAGAGAGAGAGAGAGAGAGAGAGAGAGAGAGAGAGAGAGCCAGCTGATGACCGGCTCACAAAGCAAATACACCAGCAAGTGCTCCATGGAAGTGGATACGTAAAACCGTGTGTTACACGATAAAAATAGACATTTGGTCGCAGAGAGAGCAATTCCTTTGGGCATCCCTGCAAACGACATTCAAACAATAACACAATAATGCTTGGTTACTTGGAAATCAACACATATATATTTTTAAATAATTCCATTGCCTCCATATCTATATTGTATCGTTTTTTCCCCAAATAGACATTTCAAACTCACATGACAAAGAGTGTCAGATAGAGACGATGCACTGATGTCTCACACAAATCAATGTTGTTTCTTTCCATGATGACAAAGGCAGATGTGTTTTGTTCATTTTACAGATTTTTAAAATCTGTAAAATGAGCAAAACACATCTGCTAAAATCTGATTTTACCGTATTCCCATGACCAGAAAAGTGTGTCTTTGTGATACATTTTAAAGTCAGACTAAAAGCTATTAACTAACTGTCATGTCAGATCATCATTATCAGTCTTGAGTCTAAAGTATACAGGCTGGAGGAAATCTAAAATCAACAACACAGTCAGAGGGCTTCTGAGGCCGCCTGCATTGTGAGCAAACATCATCTGCCCCAGACAGCATCAGGCCTCTGCAGTCATGTCACATTAATAAAGTGAATAACAAGATGACCCATACTCCTACACTGTTTGGTGCAGAGTGTTTTTGCAACCAGTAATATGGAAGTAATTAGTTTTCCTTGATGGTACTGTGCAATTGATATAGCATCCAGATAACTATTATATCGTTAGAACCCTGTTGTTAAAAGGGATGAGATACATATAACAAATAAAGTAAGTATACGTGGAAATAAACTGGAAACAGTATATGACTGATCTGAACATCTTGAAGAGATCACGTTACTCGATCCTCATGAGCAAAGCCAATGGCCAGAATATTGATTGAATGTTGACATGCTCGATGCTGTGCATGAGCAATGACCAGTGGAATGTTGGTATTGACTTTTTCTTCAGCATCCCTCCACAGTACGAATAATAATCCACTTACTTTCACATTCATAAATGCAGTGTGGCATATCGCAGCTGTTGATGAGAGTTGAGCAGTGAAGTAGGATTAGAATACCATATGAATTCATTCAATAAGTTCACTTCTGGGGATTTGAAAACCGGAGTAATGACATGACACCTCTGCTTGCTGACAGCATCACAAAGATCAGGATGGCAGTCTTTTTTTTTTTTTTTTTTTTTTTCGGGAACCCAAAATCATCCTTGAAGAAATTTACAATTTGTGTTATTTTCATAGAATATAGAATGTATTCTTCAAACTAATTTGAATAGGTAGATGGATTAAAACAATGTAACAGTGGTCGTGTACAAAGGAACTTCAGCATCAAACGACAGAAGAGTCAATTATTACTTTGTTGGCCGTCTAATAACGTGATATTGATCTTTTCACGGCATACATTCCTTTGTCAAAAAGCAGATGTACTCTTTCGTTAGCATGAGTGATTTGTGAATTTGAAAGTGGGTTGCATCTCAACTTTGGTAAAGCCTCTTCATCGCCTCAATATCACAACGAGAGCTGTCCTGACTGCTCAAAGGAAAATGGCATAAAAAGAAGCTCAATGTAATGACAGAGTACTGGGATTTTAAAACCCCTGACATTTTAGTTTAATTCAATCTGTCGCCCACCATCTGTCATTAGATTTGGATTATAAAATGTGCTTGATTCTGATTGGTGCACGGAAATACGCAACATCTGTTCTAGATGAATCCTGCCCACTTCCAATCACTAAGAAGAGAGCAGAGACAAACAGAACAGAAAGAACTGTTTCATGTAAAATAATCAAAACTGTTGCCAGGAAAATGTTTTCCGAGACTATAATATCATTAAAGAAAAAAAAGTTGATTATGGTTATAGGCTGATGTTTTGCTTGATTCAGAGAATATTAGATAATCCCTCTTTAAAAATTTGCCTCACCAATTCTACAAAGGGAAAAATAATTACAGAATTTCTCTTCACCAGTTTGAACTATATTTGTTTTTTCATCTAAATTTGTGGCAAATACATTTTCTATAATCTCACAGATGAGTGTGTCCCACATGGATGCTTGTTATGACTTATTTCGGTGCTTTATAAGTAAATGGAGCTGGCTGGGGAATTAGCGGGGGAGATTTTTCTCAGAGCCTTTACATTTTTTTATCAAATGTATTTTTCTTTCCTTTTCAGAGACAGAGGAGCGCCTGTCCCCATGTTTACGGGCAGAATGAAGAAAACACACCGGACAGTTAATCAATCAATTCAAAGTTGGCAAAAAATCGTTTTCATCTTTTCAATTTGACAATATTGCTCGGGCACTGTGAGGCATCAATCTGATGTTTCACCAGTAGAGGAGGCATAAGATCCACACTTGGCTTATGCTCTTCATTGCTCAGTCGGACCAGCGCTGCATGCCTGGCAAATGTATTAGTGCAGACTCTAGGGGATGTTTTGTATTTCTCCTCCCTCAGCACAAATGCATTTCCATTTATCAACCCAGGTATTGAATACATAACTCAAGATATAGCCTCTGTCTACAGATGAATTATATCTAGAGCAGAAGAGTGCGTGCCAACATTTGTTTCAGGAGCTAGGATTTTAGCTGCTGCCATGCTTTAATAACTATTTGAACGTCACTGGAGGACAGCCTGAATAGGGACCATGCTTTTAAAATGAAACAGGGAGTTTGAATGCACAGAGAGACAATGTTGCGTGCCAAGATCCAGTATTAAAAGCCTCACAAATGACACCCTGTGTTTCTCAGAGGACCCAGATTGCAAAAATGGAAAGCTTGGGGTAGCAAAGCAGGGTTTATAATCATATGGCTTGCTCTTCATCCTGCTGAATTATTAGAGGACACAATCACTGAGACAAAGCTGGAGGGTAAAAAAAAACACCAGTTAGAGTTTAGTATTTTTATTCATACGTTCAAAAAGCATGTCACATATATTAACATTACATCCACTGGCAATTCAAATCTGATTTTTAAATATAAATTCTTTCAAGTACAGAGGCATTATTAGTTTCCACACGAACGCGCAAAACCCACATGTAATATTACTACATTATTACAAAAACTACAGCTCCAGCCTTAACAAGATCATCATTGCATCACTGAGCCACATCACAATGCTCATGAGAGAAGGCAACACTTTTTGTAACTCAATACTTCAAGAGAAATACACAAACAAGGACAACGACTCCACTGTTCACATTGCTAATATACTGGTAAGCATGTTAATAATTCTGGTTTCCACTTGTTTTACATGGGCATGAGGCTTGATGGCAACTTGATAAAGTGGGACTTTTAATCCTACAGAGGCTTCGTTTTGTTTTTTGCCCATTGATTTACATAACACAGTGTGCAAGATACAATTCCCTTGTCATCAGCATGCGTTCACCTGCCCAGTACTTGTCAGATCTGTTCAGTGGGAGAGAAAGGTAGCCAGAGAATAAAAAGGGCCCTCAAGAGATCTGCTTGTTTCCAAGCAAGTCTTGACAGCGACTCCCTAGCGGCCTCCCAGCAGCTCACTTAGCAGCACCTCCCTTTCTCCTAGAAGCACGTTTCTCCTCAGGCTGGTTCCTTTGTTCACTACCTTTATTTTCATGGCCAGACTCTTTACTTGTGTCTGGGCCAGCGCGTCAAAAAAAAAGTCTTCGTTGAATACTGGATTCCTGCTGTTCTTGATGATGGTGCTCCTCTGTTTCTGCTGCTTGCCAGGGTTCAGGTAGAGTGCTACACAACAGTTGATGCTTTTGATGTCAGTCTGCCTGTCATAAAGGGCCTCGGCCGTGAGCACGCGCACCCTCAGCCGAGCTGCGTCTGGGTCATAGTGGGTGCTCAGCCTCAGTGTCCCCCCCTTGTGGAGGTTGACGGTGTGCTCACGCTGTCGGACGTCCGACGCCGCGCCCCTTAACCCGCTGCCTTTACATCCACGGAAGGCGGGAGAGGGAGGGCAGCGCATGTGGCGGCGCTGCATGTTGGGGCTGTTGTCAGCTGAGCTGCATTCATCAGTGGAGAGAGAACTGTGGCGTGCCAGGGAGCGCTTGGCACGAGACACCTTGAGGGAGGGAGAGAGGAAAAAAGCAACAGGTTAACACACAGAAAAAATCCTCAAGGTGAATGAAACCAGAAAAGCGTGTTTTTAGCAGCCAATCCATTTCCACTGGCACTCAGAGAAACAGTGCTCACCTTGGCTTGTGTCTCCTGGGTTATGGAGCGTAGGAGGGAGGCAGAGCGGGACAGCAGAGGGGAGTTGAAGGGGGACGATTCTGCTGAGGAGCAGGTGTCGCTCTCTCCGCCGCTGAAATAGCGGTATGGGTTGGGGTCAGCTGGAGCCAGTAGAGTCCCCCCTTGGGAGCGTCTCTGGGAGTTCGGGGAGGTGAGAGGGCTGCCGGGGTCGCTGTGGAACAAGCTCTCCTTGCGGCGGGTATGAGGAGACTCCACCAGGGTGGAAAAGCCATATGAGGTCTGAGCCTTGGGGACATAAGGCAGAGACATCGCAGTCTGTGACTGGGGGTCAGCATTGGTGTTGGCACTGTCCCTGTTCACAGATCCGGCACCCGGCTCATCAGCACTCTCTATTTGGATGATGTGACGGTTGGCTGACTTCTGGAGATTGCGTGTGTCCCCTCCCAGGCGGGAAAAGAGGCGAGGGCTGCAGGGGTTCTTGCTGCTCCGAGCTCTGGGGCTCTGGCTGCAGATGGCATGGTCAGAAACAGAGGGTCGTAGTGTGGAGAAATGCTGAGGTTTTGGGGTTAGAGACTCTTCTGGAGGGCAGCAAATAAGTTTAGGGGGGATGAAGAAATCAGGGATCTTTTCTGGAGTAAGGACGTTGACATAAACAGAGACAGGGATGGCCTCTATTGTCTGGGGGGACTGGGTTTTTCTCCCACTGCTCTCCACGGAGCTACGGAGCTTCTCCAGTAGCCACATGTCCACTCAGACACTTCAGATCACACTTAACTCTGTTAACAGAAAAGTGATGCATAAAGAGGTAAAAGCACATCCAACGATAAAAGCAGAATTACCCCTTTTTGTTGATGTTTGCTTGTTTTGTAATATTGTTGACTAAATTGTATTCCCCTTAATAAGACATAGCCCTAATCTGTGTATTTTCTTTAGACTTCAGTTGAAAAAAATCTGTTGAACCATGCAGCATCACAAGTTTCTCCAAAGAGCACTTTAATTATATGTGAAATCAATGCGCAAATAAAAATAAATAATTATATAATCTCCTCTAAACGATATACACCAATGCTATTTAGATGTGTATCACCTCAAACAAATCCAACGTGTTTAACAAATCAAACTACAATCATGTTTCTAATTATAATCACTTAATTGCTCAATGAAATACTTGAATGAAATGATGAAATCTGAAAATAAACTTTTTTCCTCAAAAGAAAACCCACGTTAACACACAATGCGTCTCACATCTAATATGAAATATACCAACCTGTTGCCTGTAGAACTCTTGTCCTTCGAAAAAAATGATCGCCGGCTGCGCTCGTCTGCACCGTCTCCAAGCACTCTGTGCGTAAAAGGTATTTTCCCGTTAGTTGAAGTGTGATCCAGAACGCTTGCCAGCGGGAAAAGGCTGTGAGAGCAGGCACTCTCGCTTTATATTACGGAGGTCTCTGACTCCTGAGCCAATGAGAAGGTTGTGAAAGCTTGCCATGATATTTACCATAAAACTATACCCTGCGCAGGCACAGGGGGGGTGAGGGGACTCATTTAGAGGGTGTTGTTTCACCACATTCAAAGTGTTGCAAATTATGCGTTGTTCATATCTCACTTCTCAGTAATTTTTAAAGAAAGCGTCACGGTGATTTTTAATTGGTGTTCACGTGACATCTAGTCTCGTGTATTGTTATCGCCTTATAACATGGAGCGAACAGACAGACACCTTTGTTGTATTTCCTGCTGGCAAAGTGATGATGATGATGTTGAGGGACAATATGCTGTTTTTACGTCTGCCATCAACTCATTTACCAATTATAGTGGAATACAAAGCTTTGGTCTTTACACTAAGAGGACTTTGTAGCTACAGGCAGTGGACAAAATAAAGTAAACACAAGAAACTGCAGAAGTTTAATCACAATAAATCTGTTACCATTATGCCTCTGTTTAAAAACGTTTCCATGCTGCAGTTCACTCACAGCTCTGGCTCTCCCAAATAAGCCTATAAATCAATACAGCTTGTCAGAATTGGAACAAAGAAAATAACTCACATCATGCCTGCTGTGACGTCCCTACACTTGCTTCCAGTTAGTTTTGGGATAGTTTCTTAAACTCCCAGTGTTTGTCCATAAATCTTCTCACAGTCCCTCGTTGAGCCGTCGCATTCACAGACTCTCAGCTGCTTGCTACATAAAACTCTGACAGAGACCTGCTGCGAAGCTGCCGTCTGGCTCTGGAACAGTGTCCTTGTTCATCTGAGGACAGCAGCATCTAACTTTGTAAGATGTGCTTTTATCTCCTATATGTGTGTGAAAGAAGACTTGAGTCACTAATCCCATCAGTAGCATGCCCAAACGTGCCTTTCCTGGACGGCATGCTCTGATCACAACAACTGCTAAATTACAGAATGTGGTTGCTGGGGAAGACTAAAAAGAAGCACGATTACACACATTTGTGACACTTCCCTAAAAAACATTATTTCCATTGATTTGAATGCAATCAATGTCAGCTCAAAAAGATGCACAATAAGGACATAGAACCTGAGCAAAATAAAAGTAATATGGATTGATGAATTGTCTTTGTCTTCTGTCTGGACCAGTTTCTGTTCAGAGAAAGACAAAGAATTCAACCCACAGTGTCTTTTACCAGGTGTTAAACGTGGAGGTGGATCTGTCATGGTATGAGCAGCCATCTCGTAGGAGTCATTTGGACCAGTCAATATTCTGCAGGGTTTTAAAAACAACCCACTAATGTGAGGCCATTTTGCAGGACCCATTGTGCCATGCTGCAGATACTGTCCCTCCATGCTATATTTCAAACTGAATATACCCCACATCTTGCTGCATTAATAATATTTGTGTAATTTGTTGTTTTCATTATTTCGTCCACAGCAGAAATACAGTATTTGTGTGTCTGCGCATTACTGTATATGATAGGAGAACTATACTAACTGTATATTTTCACACACAGTTAAAAGACCCATGGATCTGCTCTCTTTAGTTTGGCTCTAAACGCTGGTATTTGCATGTTTATTTCTCCTTGCGGTTAGAGTCTGATCTGCTTGGCTGGATGCACACAAGCTCCCTGAGAAGATGCTCTCTGTGATGTATATGTATATATATATATATAGATATCTCATAAGTGTGTGAACCTGGAAGACAAAGAGTGTAATTACTGTCAGTGGTGGTTCTACAGAGACCTAAATGAAGGTTCTAAATACGTATGCAAATTAGATCCATTCATTCTATTTCTCTAAAAATAGATTGCAGTCAATTATAGATTAGTGACGAGCCATTAGATTAGTGCATCAGGGGTAGGATTCATCCAGTGGTCTGGCCATTATTTAGACATTGGACCAGTCAACTATTTACTGATTCCATAGAGAAATGCGTACCCCTTTTGCCCCTGAACCAACCAGCTAATTTACTATTTCATCACTAAAAAACTATAGCCAGCAGCCATTTGAGGCTGTAATGCTTATTACACACCATTACAAAATGTGTGGGTGAAAATAAAGTGACAAATTTGTTATTTTTAAGATCAATAACACCAGTGAGGAAAAACCGCATTGAGATACTTTAGGAAAAGACCACGTCTTGTAAATTGAAGGTTTTCTCTTCTGCACTCTGCCACATCTCAAACTCACCTTGTTAGACTCAACTTTGCAGAAATGCTTCTTTCATCAGTCACGGATTCTCTTCTGTCAGCCTCAGCTGTACCTCAGCTGTACCTAGGCTCAGTAGCCGTTATTATTTTTGAAAACCTGCAAAGTTAGGGGAGTGGTTGGAAAAAAACTTTCATTACAGAGAAAAGGGAAAAGGCACAGACATAATTTATGTTTAAAAAAATCCTCACAATATGCGCATGTAATTAGATTTACATTTTTTATATTTTCTATAACCACTAAAAGCATTAACATATCTTTGTGATACCTTGTAATATTATGAGGAAATATATTATATAAAATAACAACAGGGATCATGGAATGTGATAGTAAAAAAATAAAGAAGGAGCTGCACCACTTCAGTGTTATTATTGAACAAGTTACTGTATCATTTTCCTTATTTATTATTCCTGCTTAGGTTTCACAACAAATTGTTAGATGGAAAGTGTGTACATTTATAATCCTGATGATTCCAGTCAATTGAGCTGATGTTTTCTTGATTGTTTAATTATTTTATGACACATTGTGCAAAATAATCTCTCACACATAAACACATTAGATCCACACCAAATTACGCACACACACACACACACACACACACACACACACACACACACACACAC